GTCTCAGGAGGATGCGCCCCCTCTCCCCCATCCCAGCCCTCAGCATTGTGTGAGAGTGATTCCCTTAAGTGTTTGGGTTTATGTTTTTAGTTTTGTTTGGGAAACAGCAGTTGCACAGAGTTACGGTGTAGTGCTGCTGCCGTTTCACCGAGGCACTGCCACCACCAGCTCTATCAGGGATGCTCCTGAGCTTGGCGGACATACTTAGATCCTAACGTGCCAGTGAGACCTGGCTGTGGAGAGTAGCACTGGCAGCCCTGCCTGGAGTCCAGTTGGCATGATACCAGCTCCAGAAGGGAAGAGAGTGGAGCAGACAGTGAGGAGCGAGCCTGGGGGTCGGCTGGGGACAGCCGTATGTGCTAGCTGGGAGTGGAGGGGGATATGTTTACCAAATGCCTGCCCTGCCATCCTCCCAGGTAGTCAGAGTGAGCTACATCCTGCCCCGCCTTCATTTCCATGGAAACATGGCAGCTAGGTCACGGGGTACAGCAGCAGCCAAATTCTTCCCCACCTCCCCTGCTTTGAAAAAAAGTTTGGAACCCTGGTCCCTATACTCTGCAGTCAGAAGTGGGACTGAGCCATACATGCCCTTGAATTCCTCCCTGTCTGGCCCTCCCTCTCCAGCAAGTGGGGTTTTCTTTAACTTGGCAGTGTGCAGAGGAGAAGTGGTAACACCCCCACCCCATTCCCCTGCATCGGAGCTCAGTATTCCTGCAGGGTAAGAGGTAGGAATCTTGCTGGGACGAGCGGAGCCAGAAGTGGCAATAAAAAACGTGTTGACCTGGGCTACGCTGGACTCCATGAATTTTCCATTCTGGCAACTGGAAGGGGAGGAATAGAAGGGCCCTGCAGAGGACGGCACTGGAGACTCCTAAACGCCACACACCTCCCGCTTGCTGCCCGCCACACGCGCGTCTCCTTCAACCGATGCATTGCCACCCTCCCACAGCCTCGCCCTCAGCTCTAAATTAGGTCGAAAGAGTCCCAGTTCCGATCTAGAAACAGCATAATTTTGTTCCAAAACCTGATGTGTTTTTTTCTAATTAAAATTGATTAAAATTAATTTGTCACCCAAAACAGGAGGGGAATGGGAAGGAGGGACATGAGCACTCCGCTGGGGCCGGGACGGGGGATGAGGAGGAAGAAGGCCCTTTCCCCTACCCGGGCCCTCCACGCTGTTTTCCCCTAGTCTGCTGTAGGGAGGACTCCGAGGAAGCTCGGCGCGGTGCGCTGGACCTCCTGGCGCCGGGAGGAGCGAGCGAGACAGGCGGGGCGGGCGCATCCGGGGCGGGGAGCTGGGCTTCGTGGGTGGTCCCCGCCCCCGCGGCGGCCTCTGCCCGCGCCTGGGTCCCCCCACCCGGAGGAGCTGGGGACTGTGCGAGCCAGTTTCCCACCTAGCGTTCCCGGAGTCCCTCGACGCACCCCGCTATCGGGTGCTCAGACCAGGGACTCGGCCTGGCCGGGGGGAAAGCCTCGACCAAACTGCTGGGGGCACAAAGAGCCGCGAGTTCGCTCCCTGCCCCCAGTGTCTCCTAAGCGAGCCTTCTGCTCCTAGGAAGGCGCCTTTCCAGCAGCCGCCTGGGACCCCGGCCAGTGTTTAGCTCCCAACTAGTAACAGACGGAAAGAAAAAATAAAATCATCTAGAATCTAGAATAAAAAGTAAGGGCCCTTTATTCTGGGAGAGGACAGTTAAAAAGCGCGCTTTCTTGCTAACTTGCCTTTCTTGCTTAGTGCCAGAGACGTGCACTTTATAAACTTCTTTAAGTGACACGGACCCAGAAGTTGATGTCTTGGGTTAGAGGCCAGAGTGATGCGCCCTCTGGGTTCAGCGGCTTTGAGGAGCTCACCCTGCAGCGGGCTCCGTTTGGGGCCCCTTGGAGGAATTAAGAGACCAGGAACCCTGACCCTCAGAATGATCATTCAAATCTGGATCAAACTACACTTTCACCATGGCCTCTACTGTCTCTCAATATCTAGCCTCCTGGGTCTGGACTAAAAGGCTAGGAACTTCTGCTCATGCCCTAGACTTTATAACACATAGAGCAAATGTTCAGTATAGTGCAGTTCAGGGTTCCTAGCTAGATTGCAAATTGCCAGTGTCTCTGATTCTCAGTCTCTAGCTTTCTTTCTCTTCGGCCGGATGCTGGGGAAGAAAATGGGTGAAGTTTTATATTTCATGTTTGCTCCTTGAATTTCTACCTATTTCTAGTAACTCTCCTCCCAAGCACACACTGTTACCAGACAGGAGTCCTGATCCAGACCCAAGACAGGGCTCTTGGATCTGACACAAGAAAGAATTCAGGGCAAGTCCATAAAATGAAAGCAAGTTTATTAGGAAAGTAAAGGAATAAAGAATGGCTACTCCACAGACAGAGGAGCCCCAAGGCTGCTGGTTGCCCATTGTTATGGTTATTTCTTGATGATATGCTAAACAAGGGGTGGATTATTCATGCCTCACCTTTTTAGACCATATAAGGTAACTTCCTGACATTGCCATGGCATTTGTAAACTGTCATGGTGCTGGTGGGAGTGTAGCAGTGAGGATGACCAGAGGTCACTCTCGTCACCATTTTGGTTGTAGTGGGCTTTGGCTGGCTTCCTTGCTGAAATCTGTTTTTATCAGCAAGGTCTTTCTGACCTATATCTTGTGCAGACCTCCTATCTCATCCTGTGACTTAGAGTGCCTTAATCTCCTAGGAATGCAGCCCAGTAGGTCTTAGCCTTATTTTACCTAGCCCCTATTGAAGATGGAGTTGCTCTGGTTCAAACGTCTCTGACACCACTACTTTAGAATAGCTTCTTGGGGACAGCAGAAATCAGGCTGGGTACGCAGACAGAGGTGGAGAGAAAGGCCTGAAGGATGGTAAAAACCTGGCAGGGTGGCACGCCAAGTAAGGCACCATAAGTTCTGTGGGCCTCAAGCCCTGCAGTTAAACAAAGACTTGTGTCCAGAAGAGCAAATTTTGCAGAATGTTCAGTGAAATTCTGATTTCCTCCTATCAATTTTTTATTGCTACTGTTACAAATTACCAGACATTTAGTAGTTTAAAGCAACACAAATTTATCTCACATTCTGGAAGTAAGAAGTTCAAAATGGGTCTCATTGAGCTAAGATCAAGGTGTGAGCAGGGCTGCATTCCTTCTCCGGGGCTTCTGGAGACCACCTATGGGTGGTCCCTTTCTCCAACTTCTGTCATCACATCTCCTTTTTCTCTGATGCTCCTACTACCCCCTGACAGGACCCTTGTGATTGTATTGGCCCACCTAGATTATCCAGGATGCCCTTTGTCTGGCCTGTGAGCCCAAGCCAAGCCATCACATCCCCTGAGACTTGCACGTATAAGCCCAGATGGCCTGAAGTAACTGAAGAATCACAAAAGAAGTGAAAATGCC